CAGCATCACTGCTTAGGCAAAATAAGGAAACACACACATTCAAATATTTATACACTCATTAACCACTTGCTGCCCGGAGCAATGTCTTACAGTTGCGCACACACATCTGAATTTTTGGCTAGAAAAAAGCTTCAGACCCCCCAAACAATTATATATTTTCTGAAAGCAGAGGCCCTGTAGAATAAAAGATGCTAGTTGCAATTTTTTATGTTGCACGGTATTTGCGCAAATGTTTATCACATTTGTTTATCCAAAGTTAAAACAACTATTTTTAGGATAACATACACTAAAATGAAATTCAGTGCACAGAAACAGAATATAATGGCCAATTTTTTGGTAAAATATAAAAGACGGGGTCACGCCGGGGAAACTGCAAAAAACTACAATAACCAAAATTTCCCATAGGCAACGCTTTAAATGCTTTTACGGCTCATCAGTTTAGTGCTATCAGTGATTGATGGGCTAAGAATTATTGCTCTCACTGCGAAGTTCGTGACGATACATAACATGTGTGGCGCAATTTTTGTTTTTGCATGTAGGCGCATCCGATGCGTGTTTCCGTTGTATGTGCGTGCACATGGGGAGCGGGAAACCTTAAAACATTTTTTTAATGTTACTTTAATTTTTACAATTTTTTATTTTTACATTCAGCTTTATTGCTATCACATAGTGGGCTAAAAAGCCTCCTATGTAATAGCAATTATAATGTGACTGGTCCTCTTTATGGAAACATCAGGGGTCTTTCATACCCCTAATGTCACCAAGGGACCCCAAAGAAGCTGATGAAGCAGAGATCTGCTTCATCCTCTGGCTCTAAGGCTGGGTTCACACCTAGGCGTATCAAATATGCGCGTTTGTCGCGCTTTCGTGCCGCGCGTTTACAGCGACAAACGCATGTTTCCGAGGGCTACCTGGCTGTATCCCAATGTATACGCACGACAAATACGCCCCAAAGAAGCTCCTGTACTTCTTTGGGCGTAGGGCGTTTTGCAGCGCATTCCTAAGCGCTGTAAAACGCCCAGGTGCGAACCATGCCCATAGGCAATCATTGGTTTTCACATGTTGAGCGTTTTACAGAGCGTAGGAACGCGCTGTAAAACGCCCAGGTGTGAACCAGGCCTAAGAGCTTGTTCACACCACTTGCAGTGCGTTCCGGCACAATTACGGCCGGAACGCACTGCATTGCGGCCGGCTCAATTTTTTGCAGAGTAGGAGGGGGCGTGGCGGGCCACTGAAGTGAATTGTGCCGTAGCCACTCCCTCCGGCCGCAATGCGATCGCAGGGCACATTGTGCCTGCGGTCTGGTGCGGTCAAAATAGGGTTTGCAGCATTTTGACTGCACCAGAACGCACTGCAGGCACAATGTGCCCTGCGATCCTGTGTGGGTGATCGCATTGCGGCCGGAGAGCGTGACTACAGCGCCATTCATTTCAATGGCCCGCCACGCGATGCAGTGCGTTCCGGCTAGAACGCACTGCAAGTGGTGTGAAGATGCACATCACTTCCGTCCAGTGATCGGCGCTAGAAGCCACTGATCTCTCCTCCGATCTGTCAGGGGAGACCCTCCACGCCCGGCCTGGGCTCACACGAGGGACAGATGAGCCCAGAAAGCTGACGGTGGCACCAGCGGCCGTGGAGGGGGGTACGGCGCTGCACCGTACAAGCGATCCAGCGCCTGTACAGACGCCGGATCGCTTGTATTTAAACAGCAATCGCCAGCTGTTTAACACGGTACCAAGAACATGGCTGCAGGAGCAGCCATGTTCTTGGTATAACCACTTCCAGCAGATGACGTACAGTGGTTAAAAAAAACAAAAAACACACACATATTACACACTCATTAAAACACACATAGCTTCATAAAAAAAAAAAAAAATCACACACTCATTAAAAACACATCACACACACACTATCAATAAAAGTTATTTAAAAAAATGTCCCCCTCTCCTGCTTACCTCTTTTGCAGGAAGGGGGGCTGCATCCCTGGGCTTCAGTGGAGGATCAGTGTGATCTGCACTCTGGCTGATGAAGACCATTCTAATCGATCCCTGCCAATCAGCGGCGGCACCACGAGGGAGCGATCAGTATGGTCTGCATCAGCAAGAGATGCAGATAATACTAATTCCCCACTGGACCTCCAGGGCATGATTTTCATTTAATATCTTGCCTGTTCGGCAAGATATTAAATAAGATGTGGGCACTTGCCAGGTTTAAAGATGGCCGCCGCGAGTAGAAAAAAATCTAATGTACAGTGGAGACCCACTGGGGACACCGGAGCTGCGGGAGCCCGGCCGCCTCCACCTCCTGGCCTGTCACTTGTACGGCCGATACCCAAGTAAGGTTCATGGGCCCCTAAGGCTGCCCGGGCCCCTTACATCCGTATCGGCCGTATCCCCCCCCCGACGGCGGCCCTGGATCCGGCTTCCCAGTATCGGTACTCAATTTGATTCGATATGTAAAAAAAAATAAACTAGTTTTAGTGAAAAAGAAACTTGTTTATTTCTCCCAAACTTTTAAGTGAATACACCGCATATGCGCTCTAGAAAGGACGTCTTTCAGGGACCATTCACACTTGTGCATTGTGGCAATGTGTCCTAAAACACAAGCATTAATGTGTGTTACCGCAACTCACGTACACTGTGTGTAACCATTTATTGTGATTGGCACCCCAAGGCATAGTAGAGCTCAACTCACTGCAGCACAATGCATATACTGTATACTGCATTTTTAAGGTCATGCACTTTTTTTGATCTATTGTGCTGCGTTGTGTTAAAGCAGAACTATGGGGTAACCTTTTTTTCCCCTTGCTCTCTTTAGGGTCACGGGACCCAAAACTCAGTATTTATGCTTAGAGCGCCACAGCCGGGATGGATCCCGACAATACTGTCGAGGTCCACCCCACTGTCTGATTGACAGCAGGCTCTGCCTATCTTTCGTGGAAGAGCCAACTATGCCCGCCTCCTGCCCTGTCCGTCCCTCCAGTCAGCGCTAGAGGATCGGAGAGGGGAGGGGGAATCCCTGTGGGGAGAGGTGACTGACAGTCACCACTCTCTGCAGGGAGATGATCAGGAAGTGAGCGAGTGGCGGTATGTTTTCGTTCCCATCCTGATCAATAGAGCCAACGTGTGACAGTTTCAATGTCACACGTTGGCTCTAACTATGGGGATGAGTGTAATTCACTCACCCTATAGTTATCCTTTAAGGAAGCCCATTGATAATGAAAGGGCTGCCTTAACATAAGGCATGTTGTCGCATGACATGATGGATATGCATTAAAGGAGAACTATGAGGTGAGTGCTTTTCACTCACCTCATAGTTCTAGCCGACCTGTGACAATGAGACTGTCACAGGTCAGCTCAGTAGATCGGGAGGTGAGCGAACACATACCGGGTTCGCTCGCCTCTCGATCCTGTCACGGCTCTCTGCCGTGACAGGGGGAGGGGCTGGATTCCCTTCTCCCCACTCCGATCTGCCAGCGCTGACTGGTGGAACGGACGGGGGAGGGGGCGGGTACAGCTGGCTCTGCCTCCAGATAAGCAGAGCCAGCTGTCACTCACGCAGCTGGGCGGATCCCGTCATCTACGTCGGGATCCGCTCTGGCTGCGGCGTCTCAGTATACCGCGAGCTGTAGCTCGCGGTATAGTGAGCTTAGGGTAACGGGAGGACGCTAGTTTGTGTCCTCCCGTTACCCTAAGGAGAACTATGGGGAAAAACACTGACCCCATAGTTCTCCTTTAACTCACTGCACCAGAATACTTAAAGAGGAACTATACCCAGATCTTCAAAATAACAACAAAATAACAAAGGAACCTTTAGAAATGTTTATTAATGACAATCTATAAACAGATACTTTTAGATAATTGCAGGCTTTTTTATTCTTTGCGTGCTTTATTTTTCTTTTCTTCCCTAGTCTTCTGACAGTGGCCATTTTAACTAAGGGCAGGTTACTAGATCTCCTTTTACTTCTTTGGCACATGTGATAATGTACATCATCTCAAGGGAGAAAAATGCATTTCCCTGAGATCTCATAAGATTATAGATGAGATTGCCCAGCAATGCTCTGCTGATGTACCCTTCCAAGGATGCAATGTATGGGCACATTACATCATTTGTGCCAAAGTGGACTAGGAAGTGGAAAAAAGAAATTGTAAGCAAAATAAAAATATGTTTGTTTAGGTAAGGAATGTAAGATGATTTCAGATCAGCATAAGTGTGAAGAGCCATCAGTATACATACAGGTGAAACTCGAATAATTAGAATATCGTGCAAAGTTAATTTATTTCACTAATGCAACTTAAAAGGTGAAACTAATATATGAGATAGACTCATTACATGCAAAGCAAGATAATTTAAGCCTTGATTTGTCATAATTGTGATGATTATGGCTTACTGCTCATGAAAACCCCAAGAACCACAAATCCACAACCTCAAAAAAGTAGATTATTACATGCAATCAATAAAACAAGGATTGTACATAGAACAATATCGGACCTCTGAGAAGTACAAGCATGCATATGTACTCAGTACTTGGTTTGGGCCCCTTATGCAGCACTTACTGCAATTACTTTTGCACGATATTCTAATTATTCGAGTTTCACCTGTAAGTTCAGAAGTGTTTTTTTTTTTTTTACGAGACAGCTTGTATACAAAATATTTATCCCATTGGAAATGTTCATGTTTATTGCCTTAAAACACTGAACAACATCAGAGGTTTTTTTTACACTGAAAGAAACAGTAGAAAGACTCTTTAATGGCAAAGTAAAAACAAACTTCCATGGGGGTGAATACCTGTTGCAGCAATCATATTTTAGTACAAATGAACTCATAGCATAGATGCTTAATAAACATTTATCATACACACACAATATACATCAGATCTGATACAGCGGTGTTCTAATAACCAAAGAAGTCTCTGAAACAATCACAGGAATGTACTTGCTTGGATTTGTAAATCCATGTCAATTGATACAATTATCTTAAAAGTCATGTGTTTATACTTGTTATAATTCCTATTTCAGAATTGTGCTCGTTGTTTCACAGTTCTTCACGGTCACACTTTGTCACAACTGATATCTTGTATAAAGATGCAGAAAAGGAATCAGGTCTGTGAGATACTGAACAGAAAACAGAAAATAGTTACCATGCAGATTGCTGCTCTTTTTTCCCTCTATAGTGCTGACAAATTCCACAGGGTTTTTAAGAAAAAATGGTTAATTGTGGACTAGCTACATTTACATATGCTCCTCTGGAAAAAAAAAAGAAGTTAACGCTCCAATGTCCTTATTAAACTCACACATGCCAAAGGAGTGGTGCAAACTAACCAACCAGTGTCTGTGAATTGTGCATGGAAAACTATAAAAATATTAGGGGAGGTTTAAATGAATGAATTAGGAGAATTACCAATCCACTTTTTTAATCTACTGAATTAGATTAGATTTGTCTGATCTCCAGACAATCATAAAACTTAGAAAAAAGGCAACAAAGATTAAAATTTATTGATATTTAATGAATATGATATCGTACAGACTGGACAAATCTGGGAATTGCACATTTTTAAAATACTTTTGACATGCATGCAGATTTGCCTGGTTTCAGATCACTCCAGTCATTAACCGCAAAAGACGGCCTGTTAGCCCCACCCACTGGCGGGAGTAGGAAACTGCCCGGATTTAAAAAACAGGCAGCGAAGCCTGTTTACATACAAGCGATCCGCCGGCTATAGAGCAGGCGGATCGCTTGTATAAAGTACCGGTGTGTGCGGGCAGATCTCTGCTTCATCAGCTTCTTTTGGGGGTCCCTAGGTGACATTAGGTATCTTGGAGACCCCTGATGTCTCCATAAAGAGGACCCTTCACATCTCTTTGCCATCACAGGGTGGCATCTTAGCCCCCTATGTGATAACAATAAAGTTAAGTACAAAAAAAATAGGAAAATCAAAAACATTTTTTTTTTAAACTCCACACCCATACATACACGCGTGCAAACATGCGTCGGGTGCGCATACGCGTGAAAACGACGATAGTGCCCATTACGCCGCACATGTTAAATATTGCTGCGAACGGCGCAGTGAGAGTATTAATTCTAGAACCATTAATCACTGATCACACTAAACTGATGAGCGGTAAAAGCTTTTAAAGCATCAACAATGGTCAATTTTGGGTATGGTAGTTTTTTGCGATTTTCGAGGGTGCGTGCAATTTTAAGGCTTGACATGTTTGGTTTCTATTTACCTGACGTGACCCCATCTTTTATATTTTACCAAAAAATTGGGTAATAATAAATGTATTATAACAATGTAAAAACAAAATTATTATTTTTTTACCAAATTTTCAGTAATCTTTCCTTTATAGTAAAAAATAAAAACCCCAGTTGTGATTAAATAACACCAAAAGAAAGCTCTATCTGTCCCCAAAAAATGGTACAAAATGTATTTCAGTACAGCGTTGCATGACGGAATAAATGTCAGTCAAAGTACTGCAGCGTTAAATACTGAAAAATGGCCTGGCCAGGAAGGGAGTGTAAACACCTGGTCTTCAAGTGGTTAAAGCACAAATAAAGCCACCTTTCTTTCTTCGGGTGTTATGCAGTCAGGCTACATAACAAGAATAAGCCATTATCTTTTTTTATTATGCGTTTGTGTTCAACTATACCAAGTTGCTATGTGGCAGCAGCAAGCTGGAGAGTTGCTCTGCAGCTCTCACATACAGTGCGCAATCCCACAGCCCTCTTCTCAGTACTCACTCAAGTCATTGCCTGCAGACTCTCTTCTGGATTCTGAGAGGACCCCGGCACTGGACAGCCTACAGGAAGTGTCCATGTCATGCAGGCATTTATGAGGACTCCAAAAGAAGGAACCCTACTCTTGTACATGAAAGTGAAAAGACTAAGGGCCCGAAATGTGTGGGTTTTTTTTTAGGCGAGTAATAGGGGCTTTTTAGGTAGTTTTTTATGCCAGTGATTAGTTAAAGGCTAGCTAGTGTTAAGTGTGCAACCCCTTCCTAACCGATGACGGGATTATTCTGTCACATTTGCTCAGTTAATTAATGGCCGATGATGGGATAATTCTATCATGCAGTACAATGAGCGCTGCTCCATGGAGGGACCAGCACTCATTGAGTTTTGTTATTGATGGGTCCCTCAGGGTCCGAAGCAGACCCTCAACAGCAGATTAGGTGATCACAGAGCCGTGACAGCCACAAGCCGGCAGCAGCTCATTGTGTTGTGCGGCTGTGTGTTACAAACCGATAAAAAGTATCTCTGAGGAGAATACTGTAATCTCCTCAGATATACTATCAAAGCACCTGTAAATTTAAAAAAAAAATAACCCCTTAGTGCCCCCAAGTTTAAAAAAAAATAAAAACATACCACATTCTAAACTAAAATTGGATTTCACTCCTTGCATTTGTGACCTATAACTCCCAAAATAAAATGAAATCCCAGACATATGATATACCCTATAAAATCAGGACAAATAAAATAATTTATTATGAATTTTTCTGCTAGCTACACTAATTATGTACACATTATTATTGTGGCCAAAGCTGTGAAAAATAGGGATGCACTGATATATCGGCCGCCGAAACATATAAGCCGAAAATGGCACTTTTGGTTAAATGCCGCTCGGCTGCCTATCACAGTGCGGCAGAGCGGTGCGGGGGCGGAGACAGCGCTGTCACAGGAGGCTGAGCCCTCCTCTCGCACCACTCACTCCTGTGACAGCGTGTCAGAGAGGAGAGCAGGCTACAAACACTGATCGCTGCGTGTATTGTACATAATTGAGGATACGGTATGGTTAATATATCCTTAATTATGAATCAATGGGAGTGATCTATATCCACTCCTGTTATTTCATAATTGTGGTTATAGTAAACATACTATATTCTCAAGTTATCAATGAACAGGAACACTCATAGACGATTCCTGTTCATTGATAACAGGGGATACAGAAAAAGAGATTGAGAACTCTGTGTTCTCAATCTCTTTTTCTATTTTAAAAGGGAAATATCAGGGGTCTGTTTAGACCCCTAATATTTCCCTGAAGCCCCTAAAAGTAAAGTAAAAGATTAAAATATTTAATAAAAAATGAATACATATAAAAAAAATTAAAAGTTTATAAAAAATAAATAAAAATTAAATATTTAAAAATGTAAATAAAAACATTTTCGGTATCGGTTTGGCCTGACAATTTTTTCTATTTCAGTTTAGTTTAGTTTTTTTAATTTCTATTTCCGTGCACCTCTAGTGAAAAATGTGTTTGTTTTTTTTCATTTTGTTTGCATTTTTTATTTAAAAAAAAGAATTTATATATGCATATGTCACATCAAAATAAAGTCCATTTTGTCCTTTAAAATGGTATATAAATATGTGTAGGTGCAATAAGTGAAGATGACAATTATGGTTAAACAAACGCATAGCAAAAATGGCAAAATTGCTCTGGTCCCAGGACCGAAAATATTTTCTTATCGGGTTAATTGGGAGCATTTACTGCTAATATGAAAAATTAGGCAAAACAGCACTTAAAGCATCTCTATGCAAAACAGTTTTTGTAGTTTTAGATAGAATGGGGAAGGGTTACAACTGTGCAGTTTTTATTGTTGTTTATGTCCCCAATGGGGAGATTCACCACTCTATATGTACTAGAGACTATTGTCACCCCAACAGAAGGTGAGGGGAAATCCAACATTTTAGAATTGTCCACAGAACAAAAGTTGAAGGGAAATTTTTTAATGTGGGCACTTGTTCCAGGGATACCCATCTAAGAGATCAGAGATGTCTACTAACTTCCTGTTGCCTCTCTGGGACAGGAAGTGAAGGGAAATTTCCCCAATGGTGCACAGAACTCAAAAAACAACCAGTCAATGTTTTGTTTTTAAATCTTCCATACTCTATCAAAAATAAAAAGTTACATGCAATTAAAAGAGTGCTTTAAAGGCTAGAAGGGAACATTAGTATTTTCAATTTTTGTAAAAATAAGTTAAATACAGATCTTACCTGCAGTATCAGTTACATCATATTCAGATTTCTTCAATGGTTTGTTTTCCTGAGACTAAAACAAAATTTAAATTAACTAATTGAGTAATTTATCATGTTTAAATAAAAGTATGTTTTCTGTATTTGACTGCATCACCTAAATCAAAGTTCATGGGTTTGAAAATGTGGTAAAATTATTGTTGTTTTAGGTCAGACTTACATAAGCTTCACAGAACTCTATTCTCCCTCCTGTTACTTCCACTTTGAATTTCAGAAAAAATAAATAGGATGTCCCCAGAGGCCTGAAAAATGACCACAGCAGTTGTGAAAAGCAAAATGTACTTGCAATATACACGGCTATGCTAGCTTGCATAAGATGATGAAGCTGTATTCTTCTTTACCTCCATATTGTGCAGAAGAAATATTGTTTATCCTCATTCATCTCAATAGTCATCTGCCATTTCTGTTGAGAAAAAAAATTACATTCAGAGAAGTACAGACTTCTTAATTATGCTTATTTCTTCAGTGTAAGCATTATGCGTATAAGAGATTTTACTTAAATATACAGGTCCATGTTAAATTTAGCATAATACCAATAGTCACATCCATAAATATTAACATTAAAGGAGAACTATGGGGTTAGGGCTTTTCCCCATAGTTCTCCTTAGGGTAACGGGAGGACACAAACTAGCGTCCTCCCATCACCCTAAGCTCAGTATACCGCGAGCTGTAGCTTGCGGTATACTGAGACGCTGCAGCGGATCCCGACAATCATGTCTGGATCCGCCCAGCTGCGTGAGTGACAGCTGGCTCTGCCTATCTAGAGGCAGAGCCAGCTGTACCAGCCCCCTCCCCCGTCCGTTCAGCCAGTCAGTGCTGGAGGATCGGAGCAAGGAGGGGGGAATCCAGCCCCTCCCGTGTCACGGCAGAGAGCCGTGACAGAATCGAGAAGTGAGCGAACGCCGGTATGCGTTCGCTCACTTCCCAATCTACTAAGCCGACCTGTGACAGTCTCATTGTCACAGGTCGGCTAGAACTATGAGGTGAGTGAAAAGCATAGTTCTCCTTTAAGCGTAGCCTGAAGTGGCCGAACACATTTCTAAGGCAACAGTGATGACTTGTGGTGCCAGCAACTGCCTGTGTTAGTCTTCAGACTAGGCTGCAACCAACTAATCGATAATGAGAATAGTTGTCAACTATTCTCATCATCGATTAGTTGGTTGGATCCCCTAGGTCTCTCCTTCACGCTTGGAGGAGGGCACAGCAGGCATCGGGTGGGTGCAATAGCCAGCCTGCTATTGGCTATTGCAATTTTAAATGGCCAATAGCAGGCTGGCTATTGCACCAGCCCACTACCTGCTGTATTTACATTCAGCTGCCGTCTGCAGAATCTTGACACTGGCAGCTGTCATTCCCTGGCTGAAGCTATTCAAGCGCCATGTGCTTACAACACAATTATTAAAATGATAAAAGGTGGGAAAAATTAATTTTTGGTTTCAGCCTGACAAATTGTGCTGCGGGAGGTGCGTTGCAGTGCCATTCATTTCATTGGACCACAAACGCGCCTCCCACCCACAGTGTGATGGCACGCACTGGAACGCACGGTACCGCAATGCCGTGCGATTGCAAAAAATTGTACATGCAGTTTTATTCTGAAGTAAACTTTATGTTTGCAACACTGCATTTGTGTATTTTATTTTAAATTAAGGATGGTATTAAAACAATAATTTATCCGATTAAATCGAAAAAATTATTGTCCAACGAATCGATTATTAAAATAATCATTAATATGACATTTGCCAGAAAATAAGAAACGGGTGAGGCTTAATCTCAATTTGACTAGAATCACAATCATCGATGAGCCCCAGCCTCGCATTCAAGGTTCTCCTACTGGGACCCATGGATTAATCTGAAGAAACATTTTAGGCTAGTTCACTTAAGAGCGCAAATCTAATATTATAGCATTAACGTTGTGTAAAGTTGTGTTCTCAGAATTAGATAAACATTGTTAACTTCTTTCTTGAAACTCCCTTAAAAAGGGACACCACAATGGTCTTGGATTAATTTTATTTTATTCCCTTTGGAATAAATAAAAAAAAGCTAAGAATCTAAATATAAAAAAAGATTTGTTATTTAACTGCCAAAAGCAGGCATATGCCCCCTTTAGGCTCTTAACATACACTATATTGCCAAAAGTATTGGGACGCCTGCCTTTACACGCACATGAACTTTAATGACATCCCAGTCTTAGTCCGTAGGGTTCAATATTGAGTTGGCCCATCCTTTGCCGCTAGAACAGCTTCAACTCTTCTGGGAAGGCTGTCCACAAGGTTTAGGAATGTGTCTATAGGAATGTATGACCATTCTTCCAGAAGCGCATTTGTGAGGTCAGGTACTGATGTTGGACGAGAAGGCCTGGCTCGCAGTCTCCGCACTAATTCATCCCAAAAGGTGTTCTATTGGATTGAGGTCAGGACTCTGTGCAGGCCAGTCAAGTTCCTCCATCCCAAACTCGCTCATCCATGTCTTTATGGACCTTGCTTTGTGCACTGGTGCGCAGTCATGTTGGAAAAGGAAGGGGCATCCCCAAACTGTTTTACACTTGTCACAATGCAGTCAGGCAAGTACGTTCTCCTGGTAACCACCAAACCCATACACGTCCATCGGATTGCCAGACAGAGAAGCGCGATTCATCACTTCAGAGAACACGTCTCCACTTCTCTAGAGTCCAGTGGCAGCGTGCTTTACACCACTGCATCCGACGCTTTGCATTGTACTTGGTGATGTAATGCTCTGATGCAGCTGCTCGGCCATGGAAACCCATTCTATGAAGCTTTACGCACTGTTGTTGTGCCAATCTGAAGGCCACATGAAGTTTGGAGGTCTGTAGCTATTGACTCTGCAGGCAGTTGGTGACTTCTGCGCACTGTGCTCTTCAGCATGCTCTGACCCCACTCTGTCATTTTACATGGCCTACCACTTCGTGGCTGAGTTGCTGTTCCCAGTTGCTTCCACTTTGTTATAATACCACTAACAGTTCACTGTGGAATATTTAGTAGCCAGAAATTTCACAGAACAACTGAATCCAATGATTCGGAGGGGTGTCCCAATACTTTTGGCAATATAGTGCAAATACCTAATGTTAGAACTTACATTTAGCCATGTCTTGCCAACATTTAAACGTGCAATTGACAAAAAAATATTTTTGCCACAATATTGTTCATAAAGGTTGTCATTAAAGAATAAAACTATAGAAGAGCGCACCTGCATAGTGTAGTGGTTCCATTTATTAAGAAATATCAATTTAAAACAAATTGCACTCAGAAGTGTAGACCTGGCAAACCTGGATATCTCCAGCTTGGTGGCTCAGGAATCCAGCCAACTCCAGGAGTCTGGAAAATCCTACCTTCCTCCATACTGGAAGATTCGTACGACGGATGCCAGCCTGATAGGTATGTGAGGAGTCCTAAACACCCTGACAGCTCAAGGTACTTGGACGCAGGAAGACGATAGTCTTGCCATCAACATTCTGGAGCTCCAATGGATTAACTTGTCCCAGATCAGTATTCAGTCAGACATCACCACAGGATTGTACCTTCTTATCCCATGCAGCCAGAATGTTGAGTTGCAACAGTCTGCAGTGGAACTGGGCAACTCTTATGTAGAAGCAGCGAGTCGGACAGCTGCTGGACTGTAGAGTCTAAATCTGGGAGCGGAAGTCTGTCTGCGTATAAAAACTTCAGATTGAGCAGTATCCCGAATGACACCCATAAACACCAAACGATGGGTTGGTTACAGCACTGACTTCTGAAGAATCAGGGTGAAACCAAACTTGGACCCTGATTCTGGACAGTCCGTTGGACATTGTCTGACAGTTTGTGAGAACTGTCCTCTCAACGGAGGGTCCTTTAGGAATTGTACTATGAGAATGCCCTGGGAGCATAAGAGAAATAGCACCTAGTATCTTTATTAATCACTCGGGTGAAGAAGAGGTAGTGTTGATGTGCTGGAATGATGGGGACATGCAAGTATGCATCCTTCATATCTACAGAGGCTACAAAGTGTCCTTGATGAAGGAGACTATGAAAGACCGGGTAGATTCCAAATAAAATTTTTGCACTTGAATGAACACATTGAGTGCCTTTGACTTTTGAGAACAGTGAATAGGTTTGGTCAGACATTTTTAAACCTTTCTGCTTCTGGAACAATGGCAGCATGGAGGGCTGTTAGCCTCTTCGGAGACAGGTGGGAGGACATGAAGTGGAGTGGAGGCAGAGACTGAAACTCTAGCTTTTAACCCCTGGACACCATTACCTTTACCCATACATCTGGGATGTTGTTGGTCCAGGTGTCTATGTGCCCCAAATTTACAAAAACACTGCACTAATACAACGTGATATCATTCCAACTTCTGTGAAAAAAAAAATAGAGTACAAATCCACTTACAGTAATACAAATATTTGTTTGAGACAAAAACTAAATGCCTAACCCTACAGAATAGATTCCACCCATTGATTGATCATCAAAACACAAACTGGATCCCAGATAATCAGATAATTTTTTTTGTGAGACAATTGGGGTCAGCCACCAGGATTGAGAGGGACCAATTATACTAGGGATGTCCCGATGCCACTAGGAGACTGCCAGATGACACCGCTCGGAGCGCCGCCCACCAGAGCAGCAGTGACGCGACGCTCGGCGAGGTAAGTAAGAAGAAAAAAAAAAACATAGCGCAAGCTTCGGCGCTAGGCATCGGGGGATTTTGACAAGTAGAAGTACTTGTCAAAATGCCCTGTATCGGGCCCGATTCCGATGCTAGCATCGGTATCGGGACATCCCTAAACTATACCCAACAGGGGAGCATCGACAAAGGAGTTTTCAAGAGAGGGGGGTAGAAGGGCGGTATGGAAGGAGGGATTTCACAGGAAGAGAGGATGTAGGGGTGGGAGGAAAGTCAAAAAGGAAACATAAATTTTAGGGACAAGAATTTTTAACTTAAGTTGTTATAAGTGGCCTATAATCTGTGCAATTCATTTAAAATCAAACTGAAATCTTTAAAGGGGGAAAAAGTTGAAAAAAAAACTTACAATAATGTGGCTGTATAAATATGCACACCCTTAAACTAATACTTTGTTGAAGCACCTATTTATATTATGACAGCATTCAGTCTTTTGGAGGAGTCTATCAGCATGGCACATCTTGCCTTGAGAATCTTTGTTCACTCTTCCTTGCAAAAGCTAGGTTGTGAGGGCATCTCCTGTGCACAGCCCTCTTTAGGAGCTCAGCGAAGCTGGCCCCCCTTCAATCGGCACAAACAAAAACTCCAGTGTGTTTCTTTAGTGCTATGTTTGTGCTGTTTTGTGCCGCAAAAATTAACATTTGTGCTGCTTTTATTTTAAAGATAATAGCAATTGTTTGTTTCAAGATGATGACATCACCAGCCCCCCTACAACAGCAAAAAGA